AAAAAAAAAAAACATTTTAGTTGATTTACTAAAGGGTAGAGAAGTACTGTGGATGTATTTGTGGGAAGTAATTTTAGTCATGGCCAGTTGGTCATAGCTAAACTACAGTAACTATTGTTTTACTTAACAATGTCTTATTGCTTTGTATATATTAACATTTGGGTATAAGGACCGTGTGTATATCCAAAAGGAAGCTAAGGTATTTAAACTGACCAATCTAATATTACAACTACTTTGAGATGGTCAAATGTAAACTAAAAGGAGTGCACTTTTGTGCAGTCTAGCATCAATAAATAGTTCAGTAAACTTGAATTTAGCTCAACCAATCTGAATTGCCATGCAAGAACTTGTATTATAATTACTTGGTAAGTAAGGCTTAACAATGCTAGCAAAGGAATATAGTTTTAACTTCTTTTTAAATATTAAAAAATTACTGAGAACTAAAAAGAACTCTTGTGTGAGTTATAGTTTTTGATATACCATATTAGAAATTAAAACTGAGAAATTATAAAGATATTTATTAATTCCCTTGAAAATAATAAATCATTGCCTGTTAACACAAATGACAAATTTGTGAAAATTATATTTCCCAAAATAACAAAAAATAAGTATTATTTCAATTTTTTGTGAATCTCTTTAATATATGGCTTAATAGAAGAGAACTAGATTCTCGTATCTGCTTCTGTATTCACTCTGTGGCAATATGCTATTCTGATTGAAGTATATGAAGAAAATCTAGCCTCCCACATATATGTAATTGTTATTTTTTGATACTATAAATATGTTACTCTTTGATACTGTAGTAAAACTTGAGAAGGGATAGTCTCTTAAAGGTTAGCTGCAATGTGAAATATCCAACTATACCCACGAACTTTTCATATTATGTTACCTTAAAATCCACTGCACTATGAATGATCTTTTATCCAGGCATAATTTTGTAGTATCATGCACTGGTCATATGAAAAATAGTGGTTCACTGAGTTATGCAGATCTTTGAAATGTTGACATATTTCATTACACAATATATTAAAAATCATATGTTAATATTACCATCTATCTCATCAAAAAAATGTTTATGTGTTGGGAAGTTGTAAAGCTCAAAATGGTAGCTGTTTCACACAATTCTAATTTTTACTTGAAAGTCTGAATTAATCATTGGCAACAAATACTGTTATTTGTCTTCAAAGGCAGGCTTATAAGAACATTTTTCCAACTACCTAAGTCTGAACAATAAAAGTTTGTCTGTTTGGCATTCTTTCAAGAACAAAGTGGTATTCTGGGGAAAGGACACCTAGTTTGACTCACAATTCAAACAACTGCAAAACTGGTTTTCCTCAAGGCAACCATCACACTTTGGTATACAACAGAAGAGCTTAATGAATACTTCCCATTTCACCACAATGAATATTTTTAAAATGCATACTCAAGGGTCAAGACTTAATAAAATGAAGCCCAGAGTAGGCTACTGAAAGTCAACCAATATTGTTACACTCTGTGAGGAGAGTGTCAGTATAAAAGAGTTGTCCCATGTGCAAGGTTAAAGACAAGTGTCTGTGACCTGGCATGGAGGTCACAGCCCAAGGAGGATGACAAGGTCAATCACATGATCAAAGTGGTGGTACTGGTAATGGAAGATTGGCTACATACAGAGCGTTTGAGCAAAAAACATATTAAGGAAAACGGAAGCCAAATTTTTCACTGTCAGAGAAGGGAGTTAGAAATATAGAAAGTAAGTTGGTAGGAATGCAAACTGGTGCAGCCACTCTGGAAAACAGTATGGAGTTTCCTCAAAAAGTTAAAAATAGAACTACACTATGACCCACCAATTGCGCTACTAGGTATTTATCCAAAGGATACAAACATAGTGATTTGAAGGGGCACATGCACCCCAATGTTTATAGTAGCAACGTCCATAATAACCAAAATATGGGAAGAGTCCATTGACAGTGTCCATTGACAGATGAATGGATAAAGAAGATGTGGTGTATGTGTGTGTGTGTATATATATATACACACACACACATACACAATGAAATATTACACAGCCTACAAAAAGAATGTAATCTTGCCATTTCCAATGACATGGATGGAACTAGAGGATAATATGCTAAGTGAAATAGTCAGAAAAAGACAAATACCACATGATTTCACTCATATGTGGAATTTAAGAAACAAAACAAATAAACATAGAAGAAGGGAAGGAAAAATAAAATAAGATAAAAACAGAGAGGGAGGTGACCCATAAGAGTTGCTTAACTATAGGAAACAAACTGAGGGTTGCTGGAGGGGAGGTGGGTGTCATCTCATGGTTTTCAATACACAGATGTAAATGTGTGTGTACACACATATGTATGTATATAAGTATATTCCCTAGCTCTGACCACTCAGAGACCTGGGAGCACCCATCTCCCAACAGCAACGAGCAACCCTAGTATGAAAATATTGGCTTCTAACTACCATTCTCGACTAAAAGGAACCAGGACACCTTGAAGAAATGGTTGACTTTAGGACTGGAGCAGGGTAAGTACAAGATGAGCCAACATGCTGTTGTGTCAGAAGATAAGGAGATGCTCAATGAGTAACAGAGTTGTGCCAAAGGACACAGAAGCCTCAGGAGAGGGTTCCCATAGATCAAATCTGGGACAAGCTCAAATATTTTGAACTTCAAAATAAATAAGAACAGCTTACAACCTACCAACTAAAGATCAAATATATGAATGAATTGAAAATTTGGAGGGATATATTTAATAGTTTCCAAGTTCCTCCTCAAAAAATACCCATTAAAGGAAAAATTATTAATTTTACAAGGAGGAGCCCCTGGGTGGCTCAGTCAGCTAGGAGTCTGCCTTTGGCGCAGCTCATGATCCCAGGGTTCTGGGATTGGGCCCCACGTCGGGGTCCCTGCTCAGTGGAGAGCCTGCTTCTCCCTCTCTCTCTCTGCCTGCTGCTCTGCCTACTTGTGCTCTCTCTCTCTCTGTGTCAAATAAATAAATAAATAAATCTTTAAAAAAAATTTTTTTTTACAAAGAGGAAGCCAGCAGACACTAACCTAATCAAGTGCTCAAAGTATCATCAGTAATGACAAACCATTTGCATTACCTGACAGAATGCAAGAACACAGCATCAATTCTGTGATATTACTGCCAAAGATACATAAATCTAATCTAATCATGAAGAAAAGTGCAGACAAACTCAAATGAGGGACACTCTACAAAATAACTGGCCTATAATCTTCAAAAGCAGCTAGGAATGCAAGTCAAGGAAAGATGTATGAACTCTTTCAGACTGAGAGGCTACATAACCCAAAACCCTAAAACAACAACAAAAAAACTGTATTACTGAGCCCTCACCTATGTCACCAACCTAATTTCTTTTTTTTTTTTTTTTAAAGATTTTATTTATTTATTTGACAGAGAGAGACACAGCAAGAGAGGGAACACAAGCAGGGGAGTGAGAGAGGGAGAAGCAGGCTTCCCGCCGAGCAGGGAGCCCGACACGGGGCTCGATCCCAGGACCCTGGGATCATGACCTGAGCCAAAGGCAGACGCCCAACTGACGGAGCCACCCAGGTGTTCCATCACCAACCTAATTTCTCTACGATCCTTTACTAACTCTGCCCTGGCCTTCTTACAATTCCAACAGTTTCTTTGCAACCACTGAGCCTTTGCATTTACTGTTCACTGTGACAGATATATTCTTCCCCAAATAGTCATAAAATTTGATCCCAGTTTTCATGTTTCTATTCAAGAAAGCTTTCCCTGACCATCTTATCTAAATTAGGCTTGTCAATTTCTATCATTTTCTATTCTCTTATGCTCTTTACCTTCTTTAACCAATATGTTTCATTATATGACATTATTTATGTACTTATTTATTTACTTATTTTCAGTTTCTTTCTGACTACATAAAACTGCATTTGAGAATGGGCAAGTAATCAATGTTGCTCATGACTGTATTGATAGTGCCCAGTACAACGCCTGGCTAGAAGCAGGCAGTCAAAATACTTGCATAACTTATGAATGAATGCATTTATTCATTCATACACATGCAGAAATGCAAAAGAGCTGGAAAGCAGCCGAATCCGACATAGAAGTAGAATGGTTGCACCAGAAACAAAAGAGAATGCCTTCCTTGCTGAAATGGGAGGGTAATACAAGAAGAAAATCAAAGAGTAAGAAATGAGATCAGATGAAAGTTTGTTTGGTAGCCCAAAACAGTTTCCTGTTTCCTCCCTCCAGAGGCCTTCGTCCTTCGTAGGGAGTTTTCCAAACACCATCCCACCTGTTTCTCCTCCTCCTGTGTGACCTGTGAGGTTGGTTCCCTGCAGTGATGGTTCCCTCCTGCCTTTGCCTTCCTGGGTTCCAACTTCTTGGCCCTCCCCTCACAACCATCCAGGACTCTTGTCCTTGCTCCCATAATGTCACATCCAACTGAGAAATGGGAGTGTCTGCTTGCAAGAAAAGAAAGGCTAAATGGTATAGACTTTTTTTTTTTAATGATGAGCTCAAAACATTTGGTTAGATTTGCAATAAAAAGTAAAAATCATATTGATAAAGACTTCACAGAAGAGAAGTATGATGGAAATGAAAAGCATGAGATCACATCAGTAGGAAAATGATCTTGTTGTAGATTCATTCAGGCACCTTCTCTTTGGAGCAAATAGAAAACAGTGGTTGAGAACACAGACTCATGAGCCAGACCTCCTTACAGGCTCAGTTGCTGCTACTTCTCCCACTAGCTGTGTGACCCTGGGAAGTCACTTACAATGTATGTGTCTCTGTAGTCTCATCTATAAAAAGGGTTTGACAAAAACATTACCTGCCTCATGGGGATGTTGTTAAAGTTAAATAAGCTAAAGTATTTGCTCTGCTTAAAACACAGCCTGGTTTATAGTAAGCACAGTGTTAAGTATTAGGATTAGTATTATTACTGTTGTTATTTTGCTAACAGAAAAAGAAGTTTCATGAGACATTTTTAATATTTAATTCAGTGTCGAATTTAACTTTGTAAAATGCAAAGTTCACAGATTGCAACTTTTAACCTCAAATATGTTGAAAAGCAATTTGTTCACTTAGTATAAAATGAATTGTTTATCCAATCCTCCTCTACATAAAATGGAGAGGCTCTTTGCAAAGTCACAGTACATCAAGACCCTGTTTCTAGCTGTACTCCCCGCATTTTGGTCAAAAAATAACAAAGAGCAATGTTTCTTTAATGTGTAAAACAATCACCTGGGGATCTTGTGTAACTGCAGACTCTCTTCTGAGGGTCTAGGGTAGGACCTAACAAGCCCCAGAAGAAGCTGATGTTAAGTATGTAATACTTAACAGGCGCCTGGGTAGCTCAGTTGGTTAGGCAACTGCCTTCGGCTCAGGTCATGATCCTGAAGTCCCAGGATCAAGTCCCACATAGGGCTCCCTGCTCAGCGGGGAGTCTGCTTCTCCCTCTGACCCTTCCCCCCCTCATGCTCGCTCGCTCTCTCTCAAATAAATAAATAAAATCTTTTAAAAAAAAGTATGTAATACTTAACAATAAAAAAGCTAAAACCCCACATAAACCAAATGAAGGCTTCTAATCACTGAGAAAACAATCCACATTCCTCCTCCAAACCAACAAAACTGCCTATCACCTGGGCCTTATCTAGCTCCTTCACTGACTTCCTGGTATCATCTCCTTCACTAACTCTGCTCTGGCCTTCCTACGGTTTCTCAAAACAACCACACTTTGAATAGCAAGGTCACAGATCATCTCTAGATATGCTAAAGTTAAACATAGTATGAAACCTGGTTTCTTTGACAATGGTTATGAATTAAATGCCCCATAATGCAAATCCAGCTCCTTAGTAATTAAAGAAGAGAGGCCACTGAAGGAAAAGCCAGAGGAAGGTGTGAAGGTATGGGAAAAGGAAGGAGCTCAATGAACCCATTTCTAATCCAACAAATATCAAAACATGCCTTTGAGCACAGGGAGAAGAGATTCACCTGGTTTCTTCAAAGACAGCCCTATCATTCCCATAGCAAAAGCCAATGGCGCAGAGAAAGACTAAAATATTTCAGGCAGATGACCTTACCCAATGAGACCAAGTTACTATAGTTCTCCAACATCACATCCACGTACAAGTCCCTCTGAGCAGGGTCCAGGCACTCCCACTCCTCCTGAGAGAAGTCGATGGCCACATCCCTGAAAGTCACCAAGCCCTAAAACCAAAAACCCATACATTACTTGTGAAATTTAAGAAATTTCAGGATTTAAGAAAATATTTCCAAGAGGAGAAAAAAAGGATTGTGAAGGATAAACTGCAAGAAGAGGAAAATATAACAATCAAGTAGGCTAGAAGCCTGTGATATGTACAGGTAGGGAAGAGTAAAGAAACCTGTATGGCTAAAGCAGAGTGTCTATGTGTTCTAGAAGAATCTTGTTCCAACAGAAAAAAACTTCTAGGATATTGGGAAGTAACTAGACCTGTCTCGTAATCTATAAAATAATCCCAGTTTCTCTTCTATTAAATACAAATAGTGGGGGTGGGGGAAGGCTGTTGATGAGTGTGTATACATACACACAACCTGCTATGTGCCTGCCTCATAAATTCTTCATTAACGTGACCTGCTGCACCGACTTTCAAGGAATACAAAAAAACAAATAAAACTTTTTCCCACATGCACTATAAAATCTCTATTTGAGAAAAATGATTTCAATTAAGGATTACTGTAAAGCCTCAAGTAAATCACTCTGTTAGATTACATAGTAAGTCTTTTCTCTTATAATGATGAATACATAAGATGTTTTTATTGGCTGCAATTCAGGTCATCATACAGATACATGAGGTTAATATCTCTACTATATTTATACAGTTAGGTTGGACAAAAATTCTATTTTCTTCATTCTAGGAATCTATTATCATCCAGTATTTATAAATCCAGATCACCTTCTTACTTGTTACCATCAACCACCCCTCACCTAACACTTTTCCTCATTCCTGAGTTGGAGGCCATTGAAAGGGCACAATGTGTATGACACAGATATCACCCAATATCTGCGCATCCTAGTCAATAACCAAATGAACTTAACACTGGTATTCATCGATTAGGGAACCACTTTCCCTGGAAAGACCCACTCACAAGGCCCCTCATCCTAAAAGCCTTGCAAAGCCTCACAGAAACTGAGGCTGGGACCAAGAAAACCCAAATTCCATCTTCTCTGGGAAACTCAGGTCTGTGAAGAAGTTCCAAGTTTGCCTGTGTGGTCAAATGAGACCCTCATCACTGAATCATCACCTCACAGACCTGACACAAGAATAAGAAATTCTGATAAGGGAACTCGTACAGCCCTAGTGGAAAAAAGACAGAGGTGATAACACAGGGCACTACCCAAGACAGCCTACTGTGGATATGTCCTAAGTAAACACCAAAGCTCTTCCAGAGAATGCACAAGCAACTGAAAGCGTTCTCTTGGGTGACCATCCAGCTGTCTAAGGGCATTATATCCTGACTGGTTTCTTTCCTAGATACCTGCCAATCAGCACCTTAATCTGAAAAAGGAGTAACTGTTGTTTTCAAAATGTCTATAGTCTTTCATTCTCTCTTTTCTCCTTCCCTTATAGAAATCCTGTTTGTGCTTTGATAGATGAAATCAATCTACTCTTGGTTTTCCTTGTATACGAGTGAAAATGTGCTAATTGTTAATTATATTTCTTTGAGTTATTCTTTGACAGGAGCTCAAGTATTTCCCTCAAAAGACTCCTATCCCTTCACTGCTTTCGATAGAAGACTGAGCACACAGATGTTGGATAATGTGTTCAATGATATGATGACACTGATTGGAAAGGCACATGAAAAGGACACTGGGCTATTTGGCACTATTCTTTACTGGAATAGGAACTGAGAAGCAGGTTCAGGACTAGGGTTCTGTTATGCAGAAAGCTTTAGGACAATTAAGGAAAAGATTCATATGACCTAAAAATCACAGTATTTCAAGGACAGAGAAATAACAACTTACATCAGTCATGGTTCTAGAACTGCAAGAACTAATTAATAATCCATGGGGTTCCTCGATTGGTGAAGCACAGAATCCAGAAAAGCCAGAGCTGGGGAAGGAAAAAAAAAAGCTTCAGACTAGGTGTGCTTAAGTGATCCCATCCTGACTTAAGCTAATATAAACTTTTATCTCTTCCATTCCTGTTTCTACTTCATACCTCCACAACCATCTGTGGAATCTGAACTCTCACCTAAAACCCAAATGTCCTTCAGGAGGTAGGTTTCTGGCAGTGCCTAATTCTGGGGATGCTGATATGGGCCGAAGGTTGGACTACTGAGTGCTGCCCAGACTGGATCCTCCTCCCACCATCGCCACTTCTCAGGGCTGAGAAAGAGGCACATGGTCCGAGCCAGAACATCCTTCACAGGTTTGGGGCTGAAGAAAGTTGGTCAAGACACAGGAGTGGACAGGATGTACAATTGCCTGAGCCCCAAAAGCTGACCTCTTAATGCATTCAGAACATCCATGCAATGAAATGCTATAAAACTATGCTAAGTTGGGGAAAATAATCAAGATATACTGTCAAAAGAATATATAGCTTACTACATCAAAAACTAATGATGTATTATATGTTGGCTAACTGAACATAAAAAAAGGAAAAAATATAGCTTACAGGATGTATAGTGTGATTATATTTATAAAGTATATGTGTATATCAATATAGAAAAGATTGACAATCAGATGTCAATAGATGAAAAAAGTGTTTAGGAAGTTATACATGTATATACAATAAAGTTTTTATTGTGATAATAATGTTCTTTTTGTTTAAGTATTTGTAGAGTTGTTGTAACCAGGGCCATGCATTATACTAACTATATAATTTCTATATACACTCATGTCCTGCTTAGAAAAAAATGGCTAAAATTCCCCAAGAAATGTCATGGATATATTGATGAGATCGCAAGCCTGTTTCTTTTCACGTCTTCTGACACATGGGTTTATTTTGCATCTGACCTGTCTTTTTAGACATGATACTCTACCGATAACTGCTGAATCACCTGATCCTGTTAGTCTCACTTAGCAATGAACATTAGTAGGATAAAACCTGTAAGGTATAAAACTCAGGACAAATTCCATTTGCCTCCAAAAAGCTGGTCATGACCCAACAGTATTTCCTATAATTACCTTCCTATGAGTTCCTAAGACAGGTTGCCTGAATTGCTTATTGGCCTTTGTTGCTGGCAGACTAGTTATTCCTATGTATATTTAGTCTTCCTTGTCTTAATGGTAACAACCATGTCTTTCAATTATTGTATTATCTCCCAAGTACTATCTCAGGCTCTTAAAATTGGGGCAAATTTTTACCCAAAATTCCCTTATGGAAACGTATCCTTAAACGGTTAAAGAAGTATAGATGTATATACACGAATATTCACCCAGGGGCACCTGGGTGGCACAGTCGGTTAATTGTCCGACTCTTGGTTTCAGCTCAGGTCATGATCTCATGGTCATGGGGCTGAGCTCCACCTCAGGCTCCACATTCAGCAGAGTGTGGAGATTCTCTCTCCCTCTCCCTCTGCCCTCCCACTCATGCTCTCTCTCTAAAATAAATCTTAAAAAAAAAAAAAGAATATTTTGTGCCAGTACCATGCTGTCTTGGTGATCACAGCTTTGTAATATAGCTTGAAATTGGGCAACGTGATGCCTCTGGCTTTGTTTTTCTTTTTCAAAATTTCCTTGGCGATTCAGGGTCTTTTCTGATTCCATACAAATTTTAGGACATATAGACCAATGGAACAGAATAGAGAACCCAGATATGGACCCTCAACTCTATGGTCAAATAATCTTCGACAAAGCTGGAAAAAACACGCAATGGAAAAAAAGTCTCTTCAATAAATGGTGCTGGGAAAATTGGACAGCCACATGCAGAAGAATGAAACTCGACCATTCTCTAACACCATACACAAAGATAAACTCAAAATGGATGAAAGACCTCAATGTGAGACAGGAATCCATCAAAATCCTAGAGGAGAACATAGGCAGTAACCTGTTTGACATCGCCCACAGCAACTTCTTTCAAGATACATCTCCAAAAAGGGGGAGACGAACCATGAGAGATGATGGACTCTGAAAAACAAACTGAGGGTTCTAGAGGGGAGGGGGTGGGGGGATGGGTTAGCCTGGTGATGGGTATTAAAGAGGGCACATTC